ACTCAGCCTCGATACATGGGGCGCCAGCTTTACCAGCTGAGCTAACCGGGCGCCTCGAAGTCGGCCATTTTGAATTTCGTGGTCATTTTTGGCGATTTGCACACGTATTTGAACGAACTCCTCCTAGGGAATTTATCGGATCAACTTCAAATTTAATCAGCGCAATCTAAAGACATTCATGATTAAAAGTTGTGCTATTTATTTCGTCAAACGGCGTGCCCGTGGTGTGGCGTCCAATTTTGACGATTCGCTATGAAAAAGGAAGTCATAACTTCAGTGTACATGATCTCAACGAAACTTCACATGTCTGATAAGAGTCTGAACAATATTCAGATATAGGCATAGCGCCACCTACTGGCAACATGAAGTAACTGCAGCGTGGCAATTTTGATCTGATTTATATTTTATTTATATATTATATATAAAACTCAAGTCTATTTCTTATTAAAACAGCAGTGTCGTAAAATGTTGAATCCATTTTTATTTCTAAAAATAATAAATAAAACTTAAAAAAACCAATAAAATGCTGTGAATTGACCATTATTTATTGTAAAGGAGACGAGCCTCTGCTGTTCTCTAACTTTGCTGCCACTGTGGTGAGGATAAAAAGGGCTTCAGATCTCTCTCCCACATGCCAGATACAAAATATTGCGTAAACATTGCAACTCAATATGGTCTCACTCACTATGTTAAACAAGAGTGGCTATCAAATGTTTCCCTAATGTTACTTTGATGGAGAGATGAAGCAAGGATAAAGTCCTTTCACTTATGCTGATCTTACAGGTATAAGCAATTGTTTGTCTCTGTCAATTATTCCGTCTCCTAGCACCTACAGGGGGCCCAGCCTTGGATGGATAATCTTGGCCAGACACTTAACCAAGTCGACACTATAGAGAGACACATGAAATATCTACGGTGCCTTCAACATATAGAGGAACTCAGGTACTGTAAATGAGGGTAAGGGGATGAAGACACTGATTAGTTATCACATAGGGCAGCTGTGGCTCAGAGGTAGAGCGGGTCGTCCGCTAACCGGAAGGCTGGCGGTTCGATCCCCCGGCTCCTCTTGCTGCATGTCGAATATATCTCACCCACTGACAGGTGCCATGATAACAAGATATTTAGTGTTGTTCATTTCACCAGTCAGTGGTCATAATGTTATGGCTGATTGGTGTAAGTAGACATCACCTCCAACAACATTTGAATATAAAAATGGATATGCTGTGTTTTAATATGACCGTCTCCCTATCTGTGTCTGAAGCAGTAATATGTAAAGTGTTGTGTTATAAGGAGTTTGGTCTAGACCTGCTCTAATTGAAAAGTGTCCTGAGATATACTTCTTGTAGAAATTGGCGCTTATATGTCAATTCAATAGTCATATTATATGAATTGAATTGAATTGTGTGCCTGCAGTGCTGCCGTTCAGCAGTGTCTGATGACCAGCAGTGTCTGGGAGGCCATAAGGGCAGTGGACAGCATGGCTATGCTGGATGCAGGACTAAACCAATCTGGGTGTTCTCACCTTCAGAACTTCCTCCGAGAAACACTTCACTTCTGGCACAAAATCATCAAAGACCGACTGGCCAGGTATAACCCCAACTAGTCTTCCTTTATGTCACTTTTTGTCTAAATGTGCCATAGTTCAGAATTGCAAAGATGTATCACTGTATCAGTGTCTGATGTTGACTATTTGAGCTAAATCCTCCTCTTCCATTGTTCCATAGTGATTTTGAGAAAGTATTGACTCAACTTCATTGGCCCATTATATCCCCTCCGACTCAGTCACTGACTCCCACTGCCAACTGTCAGGAGCTCAACAGCCAGCTGGAGCTGCTGGTCACACAGCTGCTTGCCCTGCAGACCTCGTATCCTTCAGTTTCTCCACACCTCTGTTCTGTACACATGTATAGTTTTCATAATATACTGTATACTTCAGAGTAAACATAATGCCACCTACATTCCATGATGGGGAGCAGGTCAAGGATTTCAGTTACCCAGTGAAATATCTCCACATCCACCTGATGGGTTGGTGTTAAACTTCCATATACATTCATGCTTTCCAAATAGTGTATCCTAGTAACTTTGATGATGACGAGTCAACCAGATTTTTCATTAAGCGCCACCAGCAGGTTGACATTTTTAACAGTAAAATTGTTTGACAAATATTGGATAGATTACCAGGACATTTCCATGTACCATTTTCACCAGGCCATTTAACCATCCAAATGAACAATATTGTCTAAAACGGTTTATCTTAAGCTGAAAAAGTTGCCAAAGTTCCCCGTTTAAAGGTCCAGTGGAAAGGGATTTAGGAGTCATCCCAGCTTCCACCGTTCAAGCATGAAGAGAGAAACTACGGTCGCACACGGAAAAGTAGCATGAAACAAGCCCAAAGCAACCTATGGCTAAGAGCCTAACGTTGCTTCTACATTTTTTCCCCTTTTTGGAGCTAGCTGTAGACAACATGGTGGTCCAGACATGGCCAGACTCCATATGGCAACCTGATGCCGTCCTGTACCACTAAAAAACGGCTTCCATTCGAACATAACAAAACACACCCAGATTAATATTCTGGTGGATTGATTATCACTATTGAAAAAATACGCTAATGGAGTACTTATCATTGCCCATTGTTCCCTGACAATAGATCCTATAAATGTTTACACCACTGGAATCCCTTAAATAATAGTAAGTTATTTTTAAGCATTTCCCCTTATTAAATAATGTCTTGAAGAACCTAGGACAGTGCGTTATCACTATTATGATTAGTTTTAGTTTGTACCTCTTACGTCCAGTCCTAAAAATGCTTGCCCAACAATATCAAAACCCCAAATCTGTCATGATTTATTCCCAGGGTAACGCGGCATGTTTCCTTTTTCCTCTACTTTGCTTAACTTTGGGGAAACCACAGGATAACGGTGCAGAGAGTAAGAAAGGAGTCACCATCAGATAGATCTTAACCCGCAGTGGTTGCCTTAAACAGGGCCCACGGGTGCCCTACACCTCTTCACACAGGGAGGACTACTGTCAGAAATGCATATAAATATCATAAGGTTCAACTATTTCCATTAGTGTAATGTATAAACCCTGAAAGATGCAGAGAATAGTTCGTATTTTTTAGAATGAGTTTGTTTTTAGAATTTTCCACCTGTAGCTCTCCCTCCCTCATGCTTAGAAAGACTGAGTGTGTTTGTGAACAAAAAATGACAAGTAAGGTGATCAAGAAACAGGGTCCCTTAAAGAGTGGCAACTGACCCATGCTGTGTGTTCGGTCAAAACGCCCCTGCAGGTGTCCGCAGTCGTTG